CTCATCCACTTCGACTTCCTGGACCCGCCGCCCCACGAGACGCTGGTGCTGGCGCTGGAGCAGCTCTACGCGTTGGGCGCCCTCAACCACCTGGGCGAGCTCACCACGGTACCGGGGCCACCGCGCGGGGACGCGCGTGTCACCGTCCCCCGCGCGTCCCCAGCCCTCCTCACCGTGTCCCCTCCCCGTGTCCCCAGCTGGGCCGGCGCATGGCGGAGCTGCCCGTGGAGCCCATGTTGGCCAAGATGATCCTGGCGTCGGAGCAGTGAGTGGCCCCCACGCGCGTCACCTGCCACCGCTCCAGGGTGACGCGGTGACGTCCCCGGCCCCACATTGTTGGCCCTGTCCCCGGGGTGCCCCGGTGACGTCCCTGTCCCCACATGAGGCTACATGGAGAAGGTGCTCCTGATGCCATGGCCATCCCTACGGTGACATCCCCATTGCTGTGTTGATGTCCCCATGCCCAGGGTTGACGTCCCCATCACCCAAGTTGATGTCCCCGTTGCCTTATTGATGTCCCCATGCCTTCGATGTATGTCCCCATCCCTTAGGTTGACGTCCCATCCCTAGGTTGATGTCCCCGTTGCCATGTTGAGGTCCCCATTGCCATGTTGACGTTGCTGTGTTGAAGTCCCCATCCTCTAGATTGATGTCCCCAGCCCTGTGTTGACGTCCCCATCCCCTAGGTTGACATCCCCATTGCTGTGTTGATGTCCCCATCTGTTAGGTTGACGTCCCTGTTGCCGTGTTGACATCCCCATACCCTCGGTTGATGTCCCCATCTGTTCGGTTGCTGTCCCCATTGCCGCGTTGCCGTCCCCGCGCCCTCAGTTGCTGTCCCCATCCCATAGGTTGATGTCCCCATTGCCGCGTTGATGTCCCCATGCCCTTGGTTGAAGGCCCCATCCCATAGGTTGCCGTCCCCATCCCATCATTTGATGTCCCCATGCCCTCGGTTGACGTCCCCATCCTGTAGGTTGATGTCCCCATTGCTGCATTGACATCCCCATTGCCACGTTGACATCCCCGTGACCTCGGTTGAC